GGTCCAAACAGCTTTGGCAGCAGCTCTGCTGGACTGTAATAGTGCCACTTGTCACCATCCTCATCTGGCCTTGTCCCCAGCATTTGGCTTTAAAGGAAAACAAAAATAAGTGAATATGTAACATTCTGCTTTATATAAACAACCTATCTCCCCTAAATTAATAACCATAGTTGGTACTGGCACTCCAAATGTAGAATTCTCTGTTGTTTATCTCCCCTCCCCCACTCAAATGCTTTGTTTGGGTGTGAAAAGAACGCGCTTAAAAATTCCACTCAGCTGTTTACAAGATACAGTGATTTTGGGTAAAACTTTTTCTTAATAAGGCCAGAAAAATGCAGAGAATTACGTACAGACATTTGTTGTTTTTCTAAACAAACTATTGTGTAATAAGAAGGTGGTGTGTTTTGAATCAATACAGAACTGACTGAGATCCACTGTTTACCGTTTTGTTTTGTTTTTACCAATGATTGCGTGTACCTACTTCTAAAAGTTACAGTGACTTTAGAAATGCTACAGATTTTACATTCCTGTTAAAATAATTAAAAATACCACTATAAACAGTAAACTAGTAGCCTACCTTTGTTTTAGAGAACCAGGAAATGTCCGGCTTCTGCTGCACATGTCGCCTCGTTCTCTTCATGTTTTCTTCGGTGAAAAATTATTTTCTTGCATTTCTAGGTCTTTCTTCTAGTTATCGTTATGATAAAATCACTTATCCTCCTACTTCGATCTCGCGCTGCGTCGAAATATTTTGAAAAAAAAGAAGGAATTGCGTCCCACCGCAGCCTCGCGTCTTATATAGGCGTGAGTCCACGAGGTGCCATAAAGCAGGCCAGGGTGTCGTCACACAGCCACAGGGCACCGTAAATCGATCCAGGGCATTGAAAAGATGCCCCAATGCCCCTCTGGCTAAAAGCCTGAGTAGGAGAGCGAAATCTTGACAGAAGAACAGACTGCGCGCAAAAGCTGCGGCGCGTGCAGCCTTTGTGGGGACTCTCCAACATCATGTCATGTCATGTGAACTCCCCACTGAGACGCAGAGATTCGTTTCTTAATATCAGCTATGAAATAAACAAAGATCTATGTTCTACCAACATTTAAGTTCCTCTGCGTTTACAGTAATTATCGTAATAAACTTGTGCGCAAAGTTAATATTTTCAGACTCAGAACGGATGGATCCGTTGCACAACACAGAAGCGCACACACACACACCGACACACAATCACTCGTTCTTTGCGTAATAAACACATTTTATTCCTATACTTACTTAGTATTTTTTTCTCACTCACATTATATTAAATTCATTATTTTCCTGACTTTAGAAATCATTTCTGATCGCGCAGGGATCAAACAAAAATGTCCTTCACACATGCAGGAAGTAATTTGCATCTGTTTAACATTTGTTAATGAAGGCGTGTCAGAGAAGGTGTCTCACGTGCACTCAGTTCCACTTTAATTGTGATGTACAAAAGAAATATGCGTGGATTCAGGCGTACGCATGGTTTGAAACATCTGGATTTTTTTGTGCATACGCCGTTTTCTGGATTTTACCATACGCCACGTTTCAGTAAGAAATCCATGCAAGGCTCTGTACATGAGGCCCCAGGTGAGGTGAGATGTGCACCACAGCTGGAACAGGAGGTGTGTCCACAGGAAGCTTAGATTAGTCAGCGATTATTTTTGTCACAACATCCAATCGACTAATTGGAAAAATAATCACAGGTTAGTCAACTATCAAAATAGTCATTAGTTGCAGCCCTACATAGTTGATGTGCTGAATAAATCTAGATAAAATTTGATTAAAACAAAAAACCGTATGTCTGAATAAAGCTGTTGATTATATTCACTTCCCGTTGACCTCACTATATACTGAGACAAATTAAACCTCAATTAATGCATAATTTAAGTTGGTTTGTAGTTTGAGATCTTTACATTAATATTGTAGTGTTATAAAACAGCATAAGCAGCCATTTTAAATGAATTTAAACAATTTTTAATGTTAGTCTACATTATTTTAAAATATATATATTTCCAATTCAAACATTTAAAAAAATTATAATCATATCAAAACTCCAGTTTTACTTGGTCTATAAACACAATTTGTTTAGCCTGAAAGTCTGTCCTTTTTACACAATTTTTCAACAGATTTTTATGGAGAGCAAGGACATGCAGGGGTCCAGGGACTCCAGGGGATTAATCTTCATAGGCTAAATACCACAATTAATAGTGATTGTTATTTATTTATTTATGTTTGGTTTGTTTGTAAATATTACCCAACCCTATACACAAAATGTTTTCTTTAAAATCTATTGTGGTAATGTACAGAACCAAAATTAGGAAAATGTTGTCTCTGTCCAAATAGATATGGACCAAACTGTATGTATGATTCAGCTTCACATCGGTTGTTATTGAGCGTAAATACAGTCAGTCCACTTTCATGCAGTGCACATAATACGTATCAAGCAGCGTTTAGTATCTTTCTGCTACAACATGTAGCAGAATTAGCTAAATATTTAGTTAGCCGAACTCATTTTAAGGATCACCTTGTCCCTAATCAGAAAACATAGGCTTATGCTGTAAAACCACACTGCTGCATTTAACATCACTCTATCAGCTACGTTGTATTCGAAAAAAGTAATCTGGAGCCGGTGTTGTACGAAATTCAGTTCCCCTGGGAAAATCTGTTTCCCCTGTGTTGGAAGCGCCTCCCTCATAGGATTGGTCTGACGTTTTGCCTGGACCAGTGTTTCTCTCTAAGGTTAACCACTAGTGGGGAACAGATTTTCACAGGGGAACTGAAATTCGCACAACACCAGCCGCGGTATCTTGACAGGTTAGCACAACTAGCTAACTAGCGTTGGCTAACTGCTTCAAAAGCTGACTTCTTCGGTCATAATTTGATGACAGCGGGGACTGTACGCTGCATTCCTGCCCGAAAAGTCTAGGAAGACCTGAAAAGAATATGAAACCTGACATTATCACAAAAATAAAGCCTATCGTCTTACCTTCCCATCCCACATCGTACATTTCTGAGACGGACGCCATCTTTTCTCATGCGTCAACACACGTCATGCCTGCGTGAAATTCGTGCCAGCTGTGTGAACACAAATCCTAAACCTAAAAAAAAGCCAGATAATGTGTGCTCTTTATTTAAGATTTTATAATTAATTTTTTGATAGATTTATTTTTAATCCCGCTGTCACTTTTAAATAAAACGGCTTTGTATATTCTATATAATTCACTAATTTGTACCATAAATGACGTTGTGTGGAGGTATGGGGCAATGCCTGTAAAACATAATTTCTATCTTCCTCTTACAGAAAAGAGCTGTTAGAGTTATTAGTGGAGCTGGATTCAGAGATCAGATCATACAAACCCAACATTTATAGAGTTGAACCAACTGAAGGTTAATGATTGCATTGAGTACAATATCTTAAAATCATGTAGGCTACAAAGAAAGCCCGTAAAAATATGTTGCCTAACAATATCAAAAACAGATTTATCAAAAGGGAAATTACATATAATTTAAAATGTGTTGAGACTTTTGAAAAACATAGATTCAGAACTGTGTTAAAGTCAAGATTTAATTTGCAATTAAGGGTGTTAGCTTGTGCAAAAGTCTCAATAGTGAGATTAAACAGTCAAAATATTTTTTTTGTACTGAAAATTTGAAAATTATTATGATGAAGTGTTATAAGATTGTCTAAAGTAATGTTTTGTTGTAATCTTGTGTGTTATTTTCTCCGTACGCTAATGGTGAACTTTTGAGTTGATGGTTGATTTTATTTTGCAAGTACAGGCAGATATGACGAGTTTGAACTTTCTGCTCCTTTTCATTCATGACTTTATTTAATTAAGTTTTTTTTTTACATTTTGATTTTATACGCCTCGTTTTTTAATGTTTTTTATTTTTTATTGTATGACTTGTTGTTTTGTATTCATATTACAATTTGTGATTGAAATAAACAAACAAAAAATACTTTGCCCTTTGTCCATTGCTGTTTTGTATTTTTAAGATTTCTATATCAGGTTATAAAAAAGGTAAGCATAAGCATGCACACAGCCAGATGTAGAAGTAATTGTAGTACAAGCACAAAACTATGACAAAGTATTAGGGCCACACAACGAGATTTAAAAAATAATTAAATTACGAGAATAAAATCATAGTATTAAAACATTAAAGTCGTATAAAAATAAAGACATAATATTATGAGAATAAAGTTGTAGTACAACGAGATTAAAGTCATAATATTATGAGATTAAAGTCATAATATTATGAGTTTAAAATCATAACACTATGAGAAAAAAAGTCATAATATTCTAGCCTTTACACAAAAAAGCGTGCAGTTACCACTGCATTAAAATGAGGAATGTTGAGCAACTTGTCAAGTTGTTAGTATTGCTTAAAATAGTTAATCTTTTAGCATATTAGCATCAAATTACCAGAAATTGTGCGAATGTCTATAAACTGAAGCCGTAATGTAATTAATGGACGCATTAACAGATTTAGTCATAGCTAATTTGGATGAAAACATATTAATTTAACAGTAACCCAAGTCACCACGGACTACTTTATAAACACAGACACATGGCTCACAGAAGAAGTGGGGAAAATAAGGAGGAAATGAGGGATGGAAAATGGACACGTCATAAGATTATTATTTTTTTCTCTACCACTTTAATCTCATAATATTATGACTTTATTCTCGTAAAATTATGACTTTAATCTCGTAATATTATGACTTTAATCTTGTAATATTACAACTTTATTCTCATAATATTATGAATTTGTTCGAATAAAATTATTACTTTAATCTCGTAATAATAATTTTTAAAAAATCTCATTGTGTGGCCCTGTCGTACAAAACCAATTGAAGGTATATATTTTATTTTATTAATTTTTGTTTTGTGACATGAAAAAAATAATTGATTTAATTTATTTTTTATTAATTTGAAACTATTGCAACAGGTTAACAAAGCTGTCAAGTAATAAAGCACAAATACTTTATTTTACTTCAGCAGAAATTTTGGTAATTCATACTTTTCTGGTGTAATTAAGATTTTTTCTTCTTTTTCATATAGTTATTTTTACTTTTTACTCATTTTTAAATTGTGTGTGTGTCGGGGGGGTGGGGGGTCATTTCTGTTTCACTTCAACATGTTTTAATTCCCAGAAAAAAAAAGAACTATCCAGATATGTGGTGCCTCAGAGTGAATTTGATTGTGGTCGTATGTGAAGTAAAAATCAATACCATCCTGACATCCTATTGGTTTGTAGCTATGCAATCCATCACACCTGTATGACTCAAATCATGTCACACTCCAGCAAAACATATCAGATGTACATAGCTTAGTATTCACTCTCAGGGCTGTGTGTCGGACAGGATCATCTGCAGCACAGGGGCCCCACAAGGAACGGCCCTGGCACCATTCCTCTTCCCCATCTACACTTCGGACTTTTCATAAAACGCCACCAACTGCTTCCTACAAATGTTCCTGGATGACTCTGTAATAGTCAGCCTCATCACTGATGGTGACAACAGGGAGTACCAAGAACTGGCTGTGGACTTTGTGGACTGGTGCAAACTGAACCACCTCCACATTAATACTGGAAAAACAAAGGAGCTGGTGGTTGACTCCTGCAGGTGGAAACACCCTCCTTTAGGACCACTAACCATCAACGGTATGGACATTGAGGCTGTGGACGACTACAAGTATCTTGGGATTCATCTGAACAATAAACTGGACTGGACACTAATACCATCTACAAACAAGGGATGAGCAGACTGTACCTGTTGAGTAGGCTCAGGTCTTTTGGAGTGCGGGGGCCACTCCTAAGGACTTTTTATGACTCTGTGGTGGCATCAGCCATCTTTTTTGGTGTGCTCTGCTGGGGCAGCAGCATCTCTGCTGGGGACAGGAGGAGACTGAACAGGCTTGTCAAGAGGGCTGGCTCTGTTCTGCGATGCCCTCTTGACCATGTGGAGGTTGAGAGTGACAGGAGAACGTTGGCTAAGTTCTCGTCCCTGTTGAACAACATCTCCCCACCCCATGCAGGGGACTCTGACAACAGTGAACAGCTCCTTCATTGGCAGGCTGCTGCATTCATGATGTGGGAAGGAGAAATTCAGAAGGTCCTTCCTTCCAAATGCTATGAGACTCTATAACAGAGCCCATGCAGCTGATCACTCACAGGCATAAACAACATATTCTAAGTGAACTTATCAAGTTTATGTGCAATATATTTTTGTGAAGTACAATTGTAATGACATGTACATGTCAAACACAAGATCAACACATCCTGGACATTGTCTCTTGCAGCTCCTACCTTCAGGAAGAAGGACAATGAAAACCAGAACAAACCACATCAGGAATAGCTTTTGTCCAAAAGCAATCATGGCCATAACTCACAATAACATACAGCGGGTAAAATAAGTATTGAACACGTCACCATTTTTCTCAGTAAATATATTACTAGAGGTGCTAATGACATGAAATTTTCACCAGATATCGGTAACAACCCAAGTGATCCATACATACAAAGAAATCAAACCATAAATGTCCAGAAATGAAGTTATTTGTAATAATGTGGAATGGCACAGGGTGAAAGTATTGAACACATGAAGAAAGGGAGGTGTAAAAAGGCATGGAAAGCCAATACACCAGCTGAACTCTCTCAGTGATTAGAAAGCAAGCCTGCCCCTTGTCAGTGCAAATTAATATCAGCTGGTTCATCACTCCTGTACCATCAACCTCCCACTCCAGACTGTTTTTTTACACACAGGCTTTTACTGTGGATGCCTTACCGTTTATGGAAGGTTGAAATGCCCTGTTTGTGGAAAACAGTTAACTGGTGCTGGGGTGCACAAGAAGGCCCACCTTGTTTTAGATGTGGACAGTTATTACCTGCTTGTCACTGAAACACTGAGATGCACTGCTGATGGGTGCAGGAACACAACTTACGTGTCCACCAGCAAGACCATACTGGACCAGCTGGATATGCCCCACAGGTTGGAGTTCAGGCCAATCTTGACTCAGAAGTAAGTACATAAGTTAAACTGCACTTTACTTTAAATTATTATTATTTCATTTACACTTTGTTTCTTTACCTCCAATTATTTACCACAGGTACACATGTGACATCCGTGTGATTCGATTCCTCAGAAAGAGAACGTTAGGAAACAGCCCTACTCGTTTGGTGAAGCAGCTTAGGGAAAATCACAGCGAGGAATGGCTGAAGCGCCTGTGTCGGTACCTTGGGGCATGCTCCAACTTTTCGTCTCGCCCAAGCCTGTTTCCTATTAAGTTCCAGGACCCACCTGAGCCCATCGCAGCCCCGACCTTCAAGTGGATGCTGACTGTGTATGATCAAGACATTTTGACCAGGTTGGACCACATCAAAGCCAACATCACATCCATATTTGGCACCATATTGAAGATGGACTCCACAAAAAAGGTATTTTGTGTACCAAACAGAAAAAAATGGAGACCACCAGTTTCTCAACATTTATTTTGTTTATAAACTAAATAAAAGTTGAAAAATCAAAGTAATAAATAGATTTATTACCTTTATTGTTCACCTTGTTTTATGTAAGTTTAATTTAAAAAGGCATGGTACTGTAGGTGGTTACCACAAAAACGTTTATTGTAATATTGTCTATTAATTAACCAAATACTTTGTGCAATTCATTAACCGTGTTTTCTTTTTTCTTTTTCTTTTTTTAAATACAGATCACCAAGAGCAGGTGTTGCCGAAGGTACTGCTTTTTGGCTGACATCAGTGGGAAATGAGGTGGGCCAAATCCTCATGAGTGTCCTGACAGCTCAGAAAGGAACCAGACTGGACCTCATGGTGGCACAATTGATTCAGCGGTACACCAGAGCTGGAGTTACTCCTCCTCTTGTTTTGTATGTTGACACTGACTGCTGCAAACATGGAGGAGGAGAAACAAAACTAAAGCAAAGGTTTGGTGCGTGGCCAAATCTTGTCATAAGGTTGGACATCTACCACTTCATGCGACGTCTGGCATCTGGATGTACAAATGAAATTCGCTGTGTGAACTGTTTATGGCCAAATTATCCTGCTGCAT